ATGTGAAATGTTCTAGAAGTTCAGGTGTGTTTTAGCAGAGAAATGACAGGTATTTTTAAATACTCCATTTTCGAATTCAAAGCGAATAGCCTCTGTTTTATTTGACAGCAGATTCTCTTACGCAAAGAACTTACCAAACACAAAAGAAAGCACGAGAAAATGTTGTTAATACAATAGTGCCAAAAATTTACATTTTCCCCAAGTTGAGGCTAAACCTGTATTACCTTAGGTCTTATGGGAATACAGGGTTAGTCTCAACTCGGGGAAAATTCACATTTTCAAGGCTATTGTAATAACGACATTTTCTCGTGCACTCTTTTGTATTTGGTCAGGTCTTTGCGCAAGAGAATCTGTTGTCAAATAAAGCAGTGGTTTTCCGCTTTGAATTCGAAAAAAAAAACAAAAACTGAATATATATCAAGACAAGTGATAATAGGAACATTGGAAATGTTATTTCAGGTGAACATTTGTCAAGTACTTCGGCTGCATACTCAATGATTTCAGGCTTTTTTTTCCAATGTAAACAAATTTTTTTCCGAACTTATAGTGCAACTATGTTAATAGTTGTTTTGTATTAGAATGGTTTAATATCGAAATGCAACATTGTAAATACTTCAAAAAATGCCAAGAAAAATATAAACGTAAAATACACAAAACCTAATACTAAAGGTTGCCCGGACAGCAAATAGATGATGATATCGATATTCTATGCTATCCAACTTCAACAATATATTATTGTTGGCTACGAAAAAATTCAAAGAGCAGACTGGGATTTGATTTTTTTTAAGCGAGCCTCGTTCATCCGATCTTTCACTGATTTGTAAAATTCATCTTAATTACTTTGTTTAGTCGAACAATTACAAGTGTTCTCAAAATATGAATTTATAATAAACGAGGCGAAGATTAGTTAAAAATAATTATCTGGTGTTAAAGCACTAAATGCTATCTTCTAATTTTGCTTTTTTACTGGTAAAACAAAGTGTTTTTTGTGTGTGTGTGTGTGTGTGGAATATTTACTTATAGGCTGAGGGAAACGTATTCTTTAAGTAAATCGAATAAGGTCAAGGTTGGATTTTAATTGCTGTAACATAATTGATCTTCACAGTAATAAAAATTTCGAGTTTGCTTAAATCTGAAAATAGACTTCCAAGTTATCGACCTAAAATCGACAACACGACGCATTTCACTTTACATCTAAGAAAACGAAATCTCGATCYTAGCGATTCGATATTTTACGGATCGATTTATAAATAAACATGTATCAATCGTTTTAGATTCTAAATTTGCGTTTTAAAGYCAGCGCTATAATACATACCTGGCTGGAGCCCAGAGCCTCGCAGCAACAAAGCTCAAAGCTTGGTCGACCTTAGACATCGAATACGAGCGCCGGCAAACGTGTCAATAAAAATCTCTAGACGGTTTTTACTTGATAGAAGTTTGTATAATGAGACAACTGCGTTAAGTAGGAAGCAGCTAGGGATCCGAGTGCTCCACATCCAAATTACCGTTTCCAAGACGATCGGGCAATCATACGACAATTTAAGGAGTCAGTGGATGAAATTAGAACCCCCAAACGGTTARAGATTTCGAGCTACTATGCTACGCCGTCAAGCTGGTAAAACCAGATGTCCAATCGCATAAGAGTTGCTGATCGATACTGTGATCGCATAATGAATATATAGGTTGAAATGGCTTCTGGCTGTGAATTATATTTTTTGTCCTACTGGGACTGTACATATTCCTTGAAAAGACAAGTCTTATTTGCGTAAAGTGACGTTTGAATGGTGTTTAAAAAAGCAATTTGCCACCTTTATGCAATTTAGGGTATTACTTGACAGAGAAGGGGAAAAATAATACAAGATCTAGAGAATGATAGTGATTGATTGTAATTAAAAGAGATGGATAAAGTTCAGAACTCAAAATAAATTCACTACTGAAATATATACAGATGACAAAAAATTAATTAAAAGCGGTCTGTTATATGGAAATAATATTTTGGAGTAAATAAAGTAAATTGGTAAAGTAATATGGACAGAAAATGAAAAAAAATCAAGAATTATCGGAAAACATGTAAGAAATCTAATACAATAAATCAGTCCGAACAAAATAGAAAAAAATGAGAAAAACTAAGGAAATCAAAAATCAAAGCAAAAGAAATTGAGAAAGGAATAAAATTGGATAAAAGTGAAAATGAAATATAAGTAAAATCAGAAGTCAATTTTGATTAAAAAAAGTGCTTACATCGAGAATGCAATCCGTAAAATTGAAAATTACTTAAGACACATGAAAGCACGAAATGAAGCGCTAATGAAAAGACCCATCAATCGACAAATAGTTTGTAAACAATAACATTACAAAACAAAAGCATTCCCTAAAAAAAAAATCAAGTTCAATATCTATTGTTCCAACATAGGTATATCAGATTCTCCTCGCTGTTTTCGCTCTATTAAGAAGATAAAAAAACTCGACTATCAGTCCTACAATCGCTTTTTTGCATATATATATAATTAACAATGTAAGACCTATTTTATAAGTATATATCAGTTACCACTCAAAATACACCCAAAACAACTTAAAAAGCTGAAAAAATAAATATGTCTTARAACTAGATAATTTTGATCAACCCAAAATGACCGGCGCGCCTCACTGCGGTAGATTTCTTTCCTTTGAAATTCAGATAAAAACTGAGAATTATACACAAAAGAGMTGATTAAAATGTTCAGTGTTTGGCTTCTTATGAAATAAAAATTATGTCCACTTGATTAATTGTCGTCTTCCAAGCTCTGGGAGAATTCTTGAGCCAATTATCTCGGGATTTATCGGCAATGATAGCGCTTGAACAGATGTGCTAGACGAAACTTGAGCCGAAAATTTCATTCACTCCCCGCATAAGATATTCGGAGTCTGATCGGTGAGCTTTGATTCTAAGAGAAAAACCCCGAAGACTTCACATCGCACTGAGAGGAAATCACCAATTGTAAGTGAACATTTTTATCATATAGCTGTGAACCTTCCTTTCAAAATAAACTACAATTTCATAATTTCAGAAGCGCAAATTTTCATTGCTAACAATATTTTAGTTCGTGCCTTTAAGACCATCTAATTTTTTTTTTTTTTTTCAAAATGACTTTATAATCAAAGCGAAATTAGATTTTACTAGGTAAAATGAAATAGGGAGCCGCGACAGGTAATTCGGAAAAAATATCTGATTTAAAAAACAAATTCTGAATATGAACGCAGCCGGGATTTTCAATAAAGTTCCGCGTCATCTACAGTTGCCGRATTATTAACCAAATGCTATCGAAATTTCACCACATATAATTGTTATTGAATAATTTTTTTCTAATATCATTTATATTATCCCTCTTCTCTGAAACTTTGATTTCCCGCAACACTTACGAAAGACCCAAATCATTTCAAATCATAGCAAATACAATTATGTTTAAAACACTCAAGGCGTTGTCCACATTTCAAGTAATTTCTCCTTGGTTTATCGTAAATAATTAAAAACGTTCTCATRCAAACTGAATTTGAGTCAAAAATGCACACAAATATTACTTACATTACAAACATTCAGTACAATAAAAGAAAGACAATTTTAAATGACCAAATATCTATAAAATATCATGAAATYTTCACAATTTTCGAGAGCAAATTAGTTTTCATTTTTGTAAGCTGTTCAAGTGGGTTTCCTCGTAAGGTTAATTAAGAGAAGAAATATATACCCAATTAAAAGTAAACATAGAAAATTCCCTTAAGCAACTTTAAGGGCAGAGTTTCCTATATCAGTAAAGTGCACAGAAAACCAGACTTCCTCTGTTATTAACAGATACAGTAAATCGGGCTTCCTGTGTTGACAATGACACAGGAAACCCACCCTTATAGTGTTTTTGGGAGAATGAGTGAATATACAATACTAACATGGGATTTTCAGCGTTCATTATCGCGTATAGACCATGCCTGGTGAATAAAGAAAGAAAGAAAAGAAGAWAGAAGGAAAGAATGAGCACAAATTTAGATTAGCAAATTCAAATAGACTAGCTCGCGCCTTCGAATGYATCAYGGGTAATCCGAGCAACTTACCCGTGATTACCMATGTAATTGAAAKAGTGAGACAGTCTATAAAACAATAATTTATGCAAACAAAAATGGCATTAAAATGGTTACCATTAGACAACCGAAATAAGTAATTAAAAATAGTTTCAAATAATATAAAAGACAAATTTTATTTTGAAAATGACTTCTAGTTGACGAGATTACCAGATCGTRTTTCTCACCATTAAAAGTCATTTTCTCAATAATTAATTTTCGCTGATTACCAATTTTAAGCTTAGCCTTAATCAAGTAAAATTTAATGCGAAAAAAGGATTAAGATTGTAGATTAGAAGTGTCACATGAAGTTGGAAAAATTAGAAGAAAGTTAAAGTTAAGAAGTGAAYAAGAAAGTAGAAAAACACAGGCATGCGACGAAAACCTAATATGAMCWTGTCAATSACTTTGACACTYCAATGGTWTTCTCATTTTTCAACCAAACACATGCAAGTAAAACTGCAGCCCAATCAAATGAATGGATTCTGAATTAAATATGTCTTTAAMATTCCAACCAATCACATGCAAGRTACTAATTGTCCAATCAAATCACTGGATTCTGAATKAAATGACACTAGACTGATAGTTCAACCAATCGCATGCAAGAAAACTGTGGACCAATCACATTACYGGAGTCTGAATTAGATTTGACACTTAAGWGACRTTCGAAAAGTTCCAAMYAATCACATGCAAGGAGCCTATARTCCAATCAAATTATTGGATTMTGTGACATTTCATAGTTCTAAATGTTCAACCAAAAGCATGCAAGAATCTAACATGTCAGTTAAACAYATAATTGTAACATGAAAACGAGTCTAGACATGACGTCACCAACCTGCCACTTTCGCTACTTGCTATAGATCCTGGRATACTATTGATGCTCCCACTACGGTCGCTGTCAGCGATTGAAGAAGACCTACTGCTTCTACCACTGCCGCCATAGTTATCATTGCGAAGACCTGGTCGTGAAGGCTTCATGTACCCCCCTGTAGGTAATACAGTAAGATTGTTTAGACTACCTGATGTGTTGTCGTCCGGGGGAAGCTTGCCTGTCAAAGAAAGATAGTTAAAAACGAGTTAGTATGATTTGCTTACCTTTGTTGATAGTCTCATTCCCAGGTCTTTCCCCTCATATTGGGCGAAAAGACCTGGTGACTACTCATGGCTTTGRCCTTAACTTGACCATCGTATACTTACGACTTGAACAATCAGTATGTTCCTTAGCGTAAAACGTGTTTAACAAATGCCCGTAAACGCACGGAAACTGAGAGCAATACGTCAAATAAAATATTTGAGCGCAAAACGAAGGGAAAAAAACGAAATCGAGAGCAACAACAAAAAATAAACCAGACTCGGCGAGTCTATTAAGTTTTTCACCGGCACAATAAGCTGATCTCAATCGYGAAAATAGAAAAAAATTCCTATAAAATATAAGATGAAAAAGTACAGAACGCTGGAAATWTTCTAATTATAGACCAAACATACAGTTGACGGAGAAAACATAAAATAGACGCGTAGTAAACAATAAACAATYCGAGCAACAAAACCAACACCATTACATACAAGAACCATTTWAGAAAAACGTTTTCAGTATAAATAGGCTAAAACAGTCTGAAAAAATGGTTAGTCTTTGATAAATTTTATTAAATTCATTAAAGATTGCATTTTGAACTCAATTTAAGTGAATATTTCGCTYAACGGAAGACTYTATATCGCGAAACTGTTTAAAATTTACTCAAAATCATTTATTTTCAATTGAAACAATTTGGTKTTTGTKTTACCATAGTAACCGAAATTGTTATGWRAGGACCACTTTAATTTTTTTGGTAAGATTTTTACTTTGGATTTGTTGTTACAATAGTTAAAGACTCACCTTTTATTTCTTTAAACCCAACGTAAAAGCCCCTTACTTTACTAGAAGGTTATCGGTTATAAGAATCACATAAGAAAAGAGCTGACAAGAAAGCATATCAAGGGGGAGGGGTAAGGAAGAATATTAGGGGGRGAGGGAAGGTCAACAAATAAACAATGCCAAAAGACAATGCTAAATGTGAACGAAAGAGAAATGAATGAATGAAATGAGAAAGACTGAGTGGAGTGTTAGTTTCTTTAACAGCATTTTAGTTTTTTGTTAATATTAAAACGTTAATTATCATGTTACAAAATGTTTGCTGAATGGATGCCAAAATTGTCATCAGAATAAACGAATGAATGAAAGAAAAACTGGGAAAATGCAAAGAAGTAAACACGGCACGATTACTAAACCACAACAAAAACTGACCAAGCAGAGGTTTTACTCATGCAAGCTATATAACTTTTTAAGAAAAACGTAAAATTCGACTTGACATTGATCGAATGAAATTCCAAATGAAATTTCACGCAACTCAGAATAAATAATTCTCTTTGTGTAAAACGCGAAAGGCATGTATTTATAACATAGACGCCAAGCACATTGATATATGAGTTGAAAAAAGCTCAAAGCAAAATGTAGCAAAAGAGTGAACACAAACCAGTTCAAACGTCTACCATACAGAATGATCTACAGTAGAACTTAGAGCCTAGTTGAGGTATCACTGCGTGCATGACGATTTTGATTGCTTATGTTTTGAATGTAGAGGTCTCGTCTATTTTCATGTACTTTCGTTCTGGTTTTTGTAGGGTCTCTTTCACTCTAGTTGCCAAAATTTTGGATCGYTCGACATCATTCATTTTTCTATTTTAATTCCCAAGGCAAATTCGCGCAAATATCTACCCTCGTTCCTTCCGCTTCTGTACTGAAAGATSCTTGCGAGCCGGAATGGGGCTCAATATAGTGATCACAAATTGACCAATTATATCTACACCGCAGGGAGATCGGTGCCTTACTGTTAGTCGAACTGTGGTGTAGAATATTTTACGCCCCCAAGCTCTGATATAAATATGAAGTGTAGAGAGACTGAATTTACGTCCTTTCCGAGAAKAYGAATGAAAAGAGAGAGAAATGTATTGTYTAAGGGCRCCACAAAGAGATTTCCATTCTGGTAATTGATTCCAAAAAATACAAAAAAGCAACAACGAAAGAACATCARTGAAGACGAGCCTTTTAAKCCAAAACACTAAGTCAACCAAAAAATGACMAAAAWTTCGGTTTKTGTATYGARCCATATCATCTGGTCAACCGCTGTYATGTAATAGCGCAGGCTAARGAATAAACGTTTGAACTGGGCATGACTGTGTGTTGGATGATGAACAAGTGATTGACGTAAAATGACATCGTACAGGCAGACAGACACCCAGTAGTGGTGCATGATTGACATACCGTTGGGTATCCGCTGTTCAGTTGATGGTAGACACGTGATGCTGGCACTCTTGCCAGCTTGCCCGAGTGGAACTGGGCTAGCCGATGGCATGGGACTGCGAAGGCCCTCCTGTTCGATTTGTGGTATCATACTAGTGCTGTTGCGCCGTTGCCGAAGTGCACCACGGGAAGCTAAGGGGGACACAAGTATACCCAACAATAAGAGGACTGTGAAGTGACAAGAATGTAACCATAACAACAGACGATTGGCTGAAGAACAGTTGAGTAACAGTGTGACGAGCAGTCAGCCATGCAGGCAGAAGCACGAAGACATGCAGTACGACGAAACGAATAAATGACGATGGRAAAACGAACAGTTTCCGAAGAATGACGAATAAATGACGAGGCAAAGAAAAGAGTTAACGAAGAATAATGAATAAGTGACGATAAAGAGTTTACAAAGAATACGAATAAAATATCGATATAAAAACGAACAGTTTACGGAAAAAAAATGATGTAATGAAAAAAACAAAGAGTGAACAAATCAGATAAAGAATCGAACAATTAATAACGTAAGAACTACAACAAACGAAGAACAACCGTTTACACGGGAAAGAGAGTAGAATTGAAGAAATAATTGACGAGTAAGAACGAACAATTAACGAGGTCACAGATAGTTAACAAGTGTGGACGAAAAATCAACGACGAAGAAACGGATGATACTCGTAAGAACGAAGAATTCACGAGRAACGAATGATTCACGAGGTAAGCACATAGAATCGACAAGGAATTTACAACAACGAAGAAACAAACAGTTAACAAACAAGAATGGCTTTTTCAACGAAGAAAAAAAATAGTTTACGAGTATGGACGAAGGAACAAATATTAGTATGAGCGAAAATTTTATTGAAGAAACAAACAAACTTCGAGAAAGAACGAAAAATACCGACGAAGACACGAACACTTAACGAATTAAGACAAGAAGAAATAACATGACAGACACCACAAACAAAAATAATTCGATTAGACATGAAAGATCTTTCCTCATCAAAATTTTCACATGAATTCGAACCGAAAACAACAAAGTGAGAAAATATGAGTGAAAAATATGTGCAACTTGCAGAATAACGTGCCATTACAGACTTTTATATCGTGAGAGTCGGGATATAAGTGATGGTGAGCTAAGTTTTCCAAAATCCCAACATACAGTAACTAAAGCCCAACTTATCCAAAACCTTTGTGCCATTCTCAAACTTCCAAAAAATTCGCCATCTTTGATTTTGAACCAATCAGTAGTCACCTTGCAACAAGGAATTATTAGGAAAACAAAAGAAACGGTCGCAAAGGTTCATGGATGCAGGTGGGCCTTTAAGAGCATCTCATTATTAGCTGTCACAAAATGGAAAAAATAAAAAACAAACAAAAATAAAAAAAAACCAGGCATTTCTTTGGAAATCCCAGCATGAACTGTCAATCCAAATAACACCAAACTTTATGATTTCGTAAATTAGAATAATGTCCTTATTTGTGTACAAGAATCATCATGCCATTAAAACTTTTTACCAATATATCAATATACTACCGCCATTTTGAATTCTACTGACCTTTCGCGTATTCGCCTGAATGAACAAGAAACAATGGCTTCCGGTCGAGACTGTCATCAATACACAAAAGAATCAAGTTCAGTCTCGACTTGAAACCATTCTCTGTGATCATCCAAGCTAATTCGGGAAAGATTGATTGTTTTAAGTATCGTAGATTCAGTGAAAAACTATTGGAGGCACAGGGTGCACTAAGCAGGGCATTTATGTTCAATATTTCATTTATAAAATTCGAAAAAGCTCAAAAATATAACATATTTGGATGTATCGAAACAATAATTCAAAATTTGAAGCAGAAAATTGTCAGGAAAAGTAATTTTTTGTTAGTTTTCTCGATAACAAAGTGTGATGTTCTCCTGGACATCCAATAATTTCTTCATAAATCAATATGGCGGCGTATTAGTAAAGTTCTATTAATGGACATGTACCCAGGCCCTCACGATGTGAAAGTGTGCAATGCGTATTCAGTCTGAAAACACAACCCATTCACATGACATGCAGCACTACTTGCAAGTGATACAAGTGAAAAGAATTGAAATGGGATGAAAAAATGAATTACTGGGAAATCAGGAAAGCGTTATATTTAAGCTTAGCATTTAGAGCAAATTGACTATAGTTACATGGTTAGTGGGGATGGACGAGCGTGATTGTGTGAATGAGCCAACGATGTTATTGTACAGAGGTTAACTCACTGAGAAAAACTCTGCGACTGTCGTATGGGATGATGGCATCACGTGGAAGATCAGAAGAATACAAACGGTCTAATACTAGAGAAAAGACGTTTAAAGTTCAAAGCAGTTAGCAGTTTAGGCAACAACAACTATTGACAGAGTGGGTGCTGGCACTAACGTCCATTTTGGWCCGAGAGAGACTAAAATCCAGCATTAAATTGGTTAATAAAGTTTTACATTCAAATTAACAGATATTGGCTTTAAGTTCAGCGGCCACTTTGGTACGAGAGAGACTCGTCAACATCCAGCATAGAGGTGTAATACTAACAAGAGGAAGACTATGAGCACCAGTACCCTAGTCCACTTTAGAATGAGAAAGACTGGACTGAAGTCAGATGTTTAACTCTATAAATCGATTTTATGAACTGATTACACAATTTAGCAAATTAGTAAAAATTCAATTTCATTCATTTAATCAATGATTATTTGTTGAATTAATGTTTTATTGATATTTACAGTTTACCTTGGTTATTTGGACTCATCATATTTGGACCAATGGCCTGCCGAGGATGTGAAACTGGAGACATTCTTGGAGAGTGGTGTCCAGTTCTCGGGGTTAACGCACCTTCGTACGCCATATCACCGTACACGTGATCAGGCACCTGACCATATCCCACCCTGCCTCGCGAGCCGCCTATCACTAGCTTTGCTTTGTCAATGTCCATTTCTTTAAGCTTCAGTTTCGCGGCGCGGTTGCGTTCCTCCTCGTCTGGTGTTTTAGGGAAATAAGTTTAGAACGGAATATTTCAATTAACATCAGTTTTGGGTTCGTTTTACGTCATGTCCGCCATATATAGATGAATAAATAAAGACAACTAGACTTGTGACGAAAAAAACGCCTTTCATCGGTGAAATGATACTCCTTAGCGATTCACTTTCATAGGAATATCACTGAACTCGAAGACGTACGTTTTTCRTTAATTATAAATTTAGCTAATACTTCATAAGGACTTTGGCTTCTCAGATACAGTGTAAAAAATTAACCATTGAAAGTGCCTTGCCAAAATAGAAACATTTCTTAGCTACATCAAAGAAATTTTTCCTTAGTGTACAGCAAAATGTATAGTTCCTTTACAAATTCATCTATTTTGGTAGTTTATTTCTTAGGAGTTTATAGTCACTGTCTGTATTACAGTATACAGTGAGTTTTATACACGTTGTCTAGCTAAAACACATCTAACACATATGCCACACAACTGTAGAAACTATACAGCCAAATCGAGATGAACTGCAATTGAATAGTCTCCTTCACGGTTACCTGCGCCATCTTGAAAGGTAGCCGTGCCTTTGCATCGAAGCGAGACAACCGTTGAGTGTGCAATGATAGAAACCTTCTTTCACACCTACAAACAATTATTCACAGGTTTCTATCATTGCACGCTCAACGGTTTTCTCGCTTCGATGCAAATGCCCGGCTACCTTTCAAGATGGCGGTAACCGTGAAGGAGACTATTGTTCAGGAGCCGGTTGCACGAATGGTGAATAGCGCTATTGACTGGATAGATTCCTATATCGATTGGAAATACCATACAAAATCTATACAGTGAATATCTTTATCCACACTTCCTACAAACATCCAAATTTAATAGAGCCTTGCCAAAATGGCCTTTGCTCATTGGCTGAATTTCCAATTAAACCAAAATGACCCCTGAAATATTGAACTATATGCTTCACTTAGAAGCTCTCTTAAACCAGGTGAGTTCAAGTGAAAACTCGTACAGCTTTTTTCCCCAAATCTGCTGGGTACAGAGCGGTGTATGACTGCGATTATAAGCCATATCCACCAACCATACATTTCAAGTGAAATTGGCATACGTGATGGCAAAGCATGATCATGATGGTAGATGTTTGTGATCCTTACACTTTTCGAAAACAGAGATTCACGACCGTGTCCAATATTAGTGGACTCAACCCAAATATTCGTGGTATGCCAGTTATATTACTTATCTGTCATTAAGCCTAATGGACCAGCATGACACATCCAGTCCGAACTGGACAAATGATCGTGTAATTATAACATCGATTACTTTCTGGTGATGTGGTAATGTAGATTGTTTTAGTTAGACAACGATGATTCACCGTAGACTGTATCAGTTTATATTTTAACAGTTAGGATACATTTTTAGTACAAATGTTATTGGATACAGATATTGTAAGCTGAATGCAAGCATCGCGCTGAAATTATACTGGGCCATTCACTCACTTTCAGAAAGACATA